GGCAAAAACATTGCCCCTACGATAGGTTTATACTCGTCGAACATTATGAAACGTTACGTATATAACAAAATCTGAGAACAAATTACGATTACGGATGCTAGAATAACAATCTCAAAAACGATGGAGCGTAAAAATAGGATGTGAAGAAAATTGCGGAAATATATATATATATACTGCGGTCCGTAAAAAACGTACGGGCTCACCACTTTAGATAGCTAACACTATTTACGATAACCAAACGCGATTTACCTCAACGATCGAGTATGACAAAGAGCAATACGACTATTGCTCCGAACGAGTAAGAAGACGGATAGCTCGTGACCAACGGTTTATAGGATGAGACCTGCAGTGAAAGGTTTACACGTGTAGCGATGCAGCGTGACTCACCGGGACAAGTGACAATTCCGCGGTTGAGCGTAAACAGGTAAGGTGCACCCGGTAAAACAAAAGCTCGTTGCGAGTAGAAAAGAAGTCGTAGGTAAAAGGGGAAAGTGGCGTGTCACTACAAGCCCATCGTCGGGCAGTTGCTTCATTGTCCCTCTTCTACCGTTACTAGTTTGATTTTTGTTCTTCGGAACTTGCCTCGGCAGTTTCTCTTCCTGCACCTTTTTCCCGTCCATCTCGTTCACAGGCATCTAGTCATCCTTATCAGGTTTCTGTTCTCAGATGTCGTACCTCTTCGCTTCAATCTTCTTTTGCCTCCGAAATGCCAAACTGTGGAATACCCTCTCACTTACTATTTTTCCCCCAACTTACAATCTCACACGTTTTGAAAGCAGAATCAATAAATTGGATCTTACGTGAATGTTTCCTTTACTCTCCCCTTTACAGTATGCTATTTGCTCATGGGGATCTCCCCGTTTACTGTAATTCACTTTGTATAATAAAAAAGAGTGGACGAAACTCTGTCGTGGAAGGGAGAGTTGCGGAGTGGGGCTGTCAGCATGGTTAAATTCCAAAGTGTCCGGTAGATAAATTTATATTTTTGGCTAAAGTAGTCAAAAGAAGACCGCGACTGGATGAACCTCCAGACTGAAGTGATTGGTCAGTGTACTGGACCGGACGGTCCAACGACTGGGATTGGTCAATTCTACCAAACGTTCCGAATGCGTCGGAGGTAATACATAGAACGAATGCTGACCCTTTAAAAAAGAAGAATACGTTTTTTCCTTTCTTCGGCCCGGAAGTTGGTAGTGCGGTATCAGTTTCAACAACAGGTAACACACAACAGATATGGCGACGAAAAACTTACGCGAGATGTTTATAACCGTTAAAGAATTAAAAGAAATTCTGCGTTCTCCACAAACTCAGTTTAAAGCGGCACAGTTTCGTTTGATAGAAACATTATCGCAGAATCTCGGAGTCTAGTAATCAAGTCAAGTTCCAGATTCAAATACAGTGGACGCAAATGTCGACAGCATCATGGAGTTCCATTTTGAACCTAATGCTGGTATTTTTTCGAGTTGTGGTTCAAACGATAGGCAGATATTTTCAAATCGGAACTGAAGAACAATATTGATGCATAGAGAGTGAAGTTGTTGCTGAGGTAACTCGGTACGACTGAAAACACGCGCTACTCCAATTTCATTTTACCAAAAGATGCCTGCGATTTCAACTTTGATGAAACCGTCCAGCAATTGTCGAAATTTTCCGTGAGCGTTCATCCTTGCTTAGTATCCGTTACCACTGCATGAAACTGGTCAAACAAGAAGACAAGGATTTTATCACTTTTCCGGTAGAGTCAATCTTAAACGCGAATAATCCGATTTATTTAGTATGACAAAAGATCAGTTCAAATGTTTTATTTTCATCTGTGGCTCCAAACAGTGATTACCGAGCTTTATTGTTAAACAGGATCGAACGGTCCCCAATATGACGTTGCCAGGGTCACTCGTGAGTGCCAACGTCTCATGAATCTCAAGCACGACACAAGCATGTTGGAGCACCCATCATCCAACAATCCTTCCAATATGGTGCAAATATTTTTCAAACAGCCTGGTACAGTAACTGGTCCTTCTGGAACAAATCTTCCATCAGCTTGCTGTCAATGCAGTAAGTAGCACTTTGTGAGACTCTGCCCTTTCAAGAAACACAAACGTACACTGTGCAACCGTCGTGGCCATAAAGAGACAATGCCGAAGCAAGAGGCACAAGAGAACCGTCAGCCGCTAGAGCAGATCAAGTAGCAGATCATGAAAACCTCAACCCCAATTCAATGCTGTCCGTGCCGCAATCCAACTAAACTTCCAGCTACGTCGGAAGTATGTGACGGCCAAAATAAACGGAAAACCATTTCGTTTGCAACTCAATGCGGCCCCTAATATCACACTTGTATCTAAACATATTTAGAAGAAATTTGGCTGCTCAAGTTATACATCAACAATCAACACGGCCGAAAACATATTAGGAGGTAAAATCAATTTACTTGGTGTATTTGACTGTGAGATATAAATAACAGATAAATTAAGTCATGCATCAATCTTTTTAGTCGATTATGAATTGGACTTACTTGGTATCGATTGGATCAATCGCCTGCAGCTTAAACATGACAGTCTATGAGCTACGTTGACCTACACCAAACCAAGTTAAGAGAGTGGACAAATCAGCGCAACCAGATACGAACACCCTCCTGTTCCTCCAAAACAAGTACGCTGCGGTTTTACCGAAGGCTTGGGCTGCTGCGCAAAGGTAAAGGTAGTCCTTTACTTGAAGCCAAATGCCAAACGGCTTTTCAGACCGAAAAGACCAGTGATTTATGCAGCTTTACCCACCGTTGACGCAGAACTTAAAGGCCTAAAGATTCCAGAGTCTTGAACCCGGCCAACTATTCTTCTGGGGCTTCACCTATTGCTGTCGTAAAAAAGCCCAATGGAACGGTCCGTATTTGTGCTGATTTCTCAGCTGGTTTGAATGACACTTTGGGCGACCATCATTACCGCTCCCTGTTGGTATCTTCATACAAATGAATGGCGGTACTTTTTTTGCCAAAAGCTGGACTTATCAGACGCTTATTCACAAGCTGAAGTCGTCGAGGAATCGAAACACCTACTGACCATAAGTACACATAGGGGACTTTTTTAGTATACCAGTTTGCCTTTTGGGGTGAAAACAGTATCGATGATGTTTCAGCAGATTATTCGAATGGTATTGACGGAGCCGACGCGCACTTAGACGATATCATAATTGCGGGTCAGAAAAAAGAACTACTCTCCCGAATAGACGTCATTCTGCAAAGGATAATTGACTATGGATTCCGACTAAGACGAGAAAAATGTGTGTATTCCTAACTTTTTTAAAGTACTTTGATTTTATCATCACCAAAAACGGCCGCAGACCTAATATCACCAACTTTGCACACATTGTGAGAATGATTTCACCATCCGATGTGCTCCAGTTAAAGTCCTTCCTCGGATTGAACAGTTACTACAGTGCATTCCTCCCAGCTATGCACCGGTTGCGTGAACCCCTCAACCAGCTTTTGACCAAGAGGACCAAATGGATATAGTCCAGCAAATTTATTCGAGTGTATTGGGGTAAGCGAAATAATAACTACAGTTCGAGCTCTTTCTGGCACATTTTGATCCCAGAATACCAGCGATTCTCACAACTGCCGCCTCGAACCGCGGGGTGGGAGCAGTCATAGCCCAAAAATACCCTGATGGTATATAAAAAGCGATCGCATACGCTGCACGATGTTTGATACCAGCAGTGCACAATTACAGTCAAATTGAGAAAGAAGCCTTAGATATCCTTTTCGCAATCGAAACGTTTCCGTAGTGATTGTGTAATGAGTATTCACGCACCGCGGTTCAGCTCCCAGGTAACCAATCCAGAAACAGAATAACCGATCAATCCTGTGGTTTCAGTTGGCGCCAAACAGATTGGAAGCATAGTTTCCGCGTAAGAAATTTGAATAAAGAAGCGAAAAACACAGGTTTGCACGATGTATCCTGGATCATTTCGCTGCATCTGTACACGTGCATACTGCAGTCTATGTGATCATTAATATATGGTCAGTAAATAACAGAATCATAGGCGAAGAAAGATTGCGGTCAAAGTTACTCACCAAACACATTTGTTACCAAGGTAGCGCCAGAGTGATAAGCCATTCACGCTGCTTACATAGTTTGGGATGGTAATTTTGAATGGATGAATGGAATTTTTGTTCCAATTGTGTTCGCCAAACGCGTTTCTTTGAACTTAAGTCACTGGAAAATTCACTAAACCACGAACTAATGGTATCATCGTTACCCAGAGACCTAAGCAAATTTGTGTTAAACATGTCTTCATGTAAGCTCAGTCGTTTACAACTTGAATTGTTATCATGTGGGCTCAACTACTGTGTTCCGCCATGGAAGTCTAACCGTATAGATTCTCAAGCAAAAATGGAAGCCTTTTCGACAATTTCTCAACCCTGCAACCGACAAATAAAGATACCCTTTGCTGGTTCAAAGCAAAGTTACTGGATATAGAACATTAATACCGAACGACATCAATGCGGCAACGTACAATAATGACTGAAGCTCACTTGAGGGCTCTGAAGGAATTAAAATCAAATGGAAAGGTGGTTGTTCTAAGTCCAGATAAAGGATCCGGTGTTGCTGTGATGGATAAGGTTTGTTATAAGAAAAAAATGCTCTCTATTTTGAATGATGAAAGAAAATTCAGAGTGGATAAGACAAAGGATAATCCGCAAGAACTGGAGAAGAAAGTCAGTATCGAGCTGAAAACTTTGATGCAAGCGGGACTGATTCGGGAATCCACGGTGAAACAATTACGTCCGAGAGGGAGTCAAATGCCACAGATTTACGGTTTGCCGAAACTACACAAAGAAGGCATTCCACTGCGACCCATTATGTCTTGTGTGTAACTCGTTACAACACAAATTACCCAAGCGGTTAGCAGAAACTCTAAAACCGGTGCGAGACTACATTTTCCACTATAATGTGAAAGACAGTTTTCAACTGTGCACATAAATTGGAAGACAGAAACATTCAAAACAAGCATAAGGTAATTATGGATGTAAATGCACTGTTCACCAGCGTCCCTTTACTGAAGACCATCGCGATCATACGTCAAACTATGGAAGAATACAAAGAATGCTGTGGTTTTTAACGTACCTGACCGCCTTAACCTTTCTGAGGTGAAAATCAAAATCCTACAAGCCGCAAACATGTTACATGTTTCATGTAATTGCTTTAGACTGCGAAAAAGAATGCAGAAATACGCTTGTCCCCTGCTCTTCCAATTCCAGGATCAAAAAGTAGCTAAGGAATTCATCCAAAAACAGCCTACTATAGCGAATTCATCGCAGTTAAAATCAATAAAGATTCAACTTGACAAGACCCCGCTGCAAAAGGAGATCGCCAGATCTGCTGATAACTTTCCTTTGGAGTATAAGAGTTCAGGATGCTCATCTTTTACTTCCAAACTAAGAAACTCAAATACCCCATTGTACCAACGTCAGTCACCAGTAATAAGAACACCGGTTGTATTTCATACTGAATTTTTTGAAAATCCTTCCGAACCCATAATGATTTAT